ATTTATTGACCACCCCCTTGGAAATTTATTGACCACCCCCTCGGAAATTTATTGACCACCCCCTCAGAAATTTATTGACCACCCCCTCGGAAATTTATTGATCACCCCTCGGAAATTTTCGTCAACAGGTAGTACCTTCCTCCCCCCCCCTCGGAAATTAAAAAAAATAAATTTTGACCCCTTGGAAAATTAGAAAACAATTTTGACCCCTTCAGAAATTGTCCTTTTACAATCCCCCTCGGAAATTTCAACTTGGCACCCCTCAGAAATTCAGAATTCTCTGACTCATTCGGAAAGTTTATTCACCGCGAAGATTAAATTGACGTACGAGTACGACAACAATATAAAATGTTTGAGTAAAAATACTCAGTGGTTCCCGCAATAAGTTTACACAAGACTGTCCAGTCTGGAAATGGTGAACACAGGTCTTTTAAAGCATATCAATACTTCAATACAAGATCAATATATCGAAGAGCTTTTAGCCGCTATTCATACCAAGTCTATCCACAACTATATCACCAGAACCAGTCTCGCTAGAGATTTCAATTCGGTGCTTGTCCACCACAATAGAAATGTACAGCGATAAGGTTAGGATATTATATTTATATTTTAGTTCATAGTCTGGTGCTAAGTAAGCTTTAAAACCTGCTTAAAGTGTGCTTATTGACGGCGGTAATAAGATATAAAAGCGGTTTGGCAGCTTAAATTAACTGTGTATAACCATAGTTAAAGCTATAAAGTATAAACCGCTTTTGCACATGTGTTCCTTTATATTTGTATCGGGTAATATTTAATTGATGTATTAGTAGCAACAGAATCTGGAGATTTTGAGATTACATGGTCGGGTGTTATGCTGTGTTGTAATACGATATCTAGAAGTAAGCAGATTTTGTGATTGTTTGTGTGAAATTGAGTTGTTGAGAATTACCCCCGAGATAATCCTCAACACAATAGTTTCTTTTAGCTTTTATTCGACGCTACAAACTATCCTAATTTTGCAAAATCTCTCACTAAAAAAACTCCCACTAACAATAGCAACGGCCAGTGTATTCTGTAACTTTCCGATTCATTACAGTTCTGACTCGCGCGTCCCACTTGTGAACAAAACATTATTTTATACTGAAATACATTATTATTAACAGTTTCCAACAATTCGTTTGTTATATAATATGACGTTTTGTTGACAGGAGGGTCAACAATTTATTTATTAAAAGAACATGCCGATGTGTAAAACAAAATTCCAGACAATCGTGCGACACTACAATATTGTGACAATATAATCGCGTCAGCTGTGGGGCGAACAACGAATAACTTTAAATAATGCTACAACCCCCACAGACAGAAACTAAACCCCCCGGGATGGCAGCAACTCGGAAACTCGGAAAAAATTTGACTAACATACGAAAATTCCTAGATCCGCCCGTTCTGTGACTGGTTGATTATGACAATGACAAAAGACATAATTGGCTCACATCAATAAAAGGAACATTCTTCTTAAGGTGTAAAAAAACAACCTGTGGTTCCGGTTTCATATCGTGAAAAAATTAGGGTCGGTAGGTCGGAAATAATTTTTTTTTTAAATATTTTTTTCATGGTTTTGGCAGGGTTTTTTTGCTGGACGATTTGCAGTAGAGTCCCAACATCAATATTAACTAGAGATGCATATTTCCTATCAACAAATTTAGGCAATTTGGCTCAATAATTAGTGTGACAACAGATGCCATTTTGGCACGCTGTATGAGCGGCCCACAACCACCTGGAGAAAATAGGGTTTCACAGTCAATCAGAAAAAAAATAGGGTCGGTCGGGAACCAGAACCACAGGTATTTTTTTTACGCCTAATGCTCGATCTTTCTTTAGAAAATCCATTCTATAGCTTATTCTTTTGTCATTGTCATAATCAACCAATCACAGAACATCTTCCTAGAGCTTCGTGCCGATCCCATATATTCCATCAGCCTTAACAAAGACAGAAAAAGTTTCGTTACCATGGGATTCCTCCACGCCTTCGATCAATCCAGTGTGATCCCAATCAGGTCCAGTGTTTCTGGAAGGTGTACCTTCGGAAGTTCGTGCCCATTCAAAGTCATCAAAAGACGACTGTCGCCATCCACATGTGTTGTCTGTAAAGTCACAGTCGTAAAGACCTAAAATTATTAAGAGCTATCTATTACAAGAGGATATTGATCACATAATAAATACCAGGAATGGAAATATCGTTCTTTTACTGCAAATTCATATTTATCCCAGTTACCTCCCTGCAAATGCATGTTAGCCCCCAAGAAA